AGTAGGGTTGCCATCCTACTCAGATATGATAATTGGTGATGTCTCCCTTCTAAACAGTCCATAATTGTACATTATTACATTTTCAACAGTGAAATACTGTGATTTTCTGTGATATTCTGTCAAAGTGTGAAAGGATACCAAAGTGATATTCTGTCACAGTGTAAAAGGATACCAAAGTGATATTCTGTCACAGTGTGAAAGGATATCAAAGTAAGTAAAAAATAATTTCTGGCCTGCCATAAGATAGAGATACCGATAGTAGCTAAACTCTCTTGATAGAGATTAAAACTGCAAAATTTTTTTACCAAATATCTTTCCAAAATCCATGTTACAATGTTTTCGATCTCACAACCGCTAAGCTATTCATGTCTCAACAGCTCAATTATGACCCCACAGCCTATGACACTATGTGAAGAAAAAGACAGAGGGAAAGGGAAAATAAAAGAAAATATAATAAACAGAAAATTTAATGTTTCGTGAGACAGGATTTTTTTTATATATTTTCACTCGTGTTTCGCACTCGTAAAAATATCAAATCATCCTGTCCCACTCGTGAAATGAATTCCATCTTTAACTACGAAAAATGAATATCCTCTATGTATTCAAACTCATATGTCCATTCAAACAATAAAAATCAGGTGCAGAGCAAGCACGGGCCTCTAAAACATCAGAGATGGGATCATGTTTCATGGAGAAGTAAACATTCCCTAATGGCCGCCTATATGTTTTCCAGTTCATGAAAAATTACCTCATCTGGAGATATTTTATTATGCTCTCAATTCCTTTGCATACACAGAAACTGGTTAGAAAACAAAAGTGATGAAAAATGTAGATCAAAAAATTGGCTTATCTTATATACATAATTTTGCATGCTTTTTAAAAAAACATTTGATTAAGCTTTGCTAATTGTTATTTAATTTAGTCATGGATACATCTAGGCCCATAGTTTAGGTGATTCTCATTTTTCTATTCATGTCATGACAATTCTAATGCAAGCATAAAAACAAACGCCCTGGAAGTATAACAAGAGGCCCATGGGCCACATCGCTCACCTGAGTAACTTTGGACATGTCCTTTACCAGATTTCCCCTTGTAATACCTATTGTGGCCCTGCACTACCCCCAGGGGTCATGATTTGAACAATTTAGAATCTACATTTCCCAAGGATGCTTCCACATAAGTTTCAGCTTTTCTGGCCCAGTGGTTCTTGAGAAGAAGATTTTAAAAGATTTTTCCTATATATTTCAATGTAAAACTTGGATTTCCTATTGTGGCTCCGCCCTACCCCCGGGGGTCATGATTTGAACAATTTAGAATCTACACTACTTGAGAATGCTTCCATATAAGTTTCAGCTTTTCTGGCCTAGTTGTTCTTGAGAAGAAGATTTTTAAAGATTTTTCCTATATATTTCAATGTAAATCTTGGATTCCCTATTGTGACCCCATCCTACCCCCCCCCCCCCCGGGTCCTTTTTTGAACAATAAAGAATCTACATTACCCCAGGATGCTTCCATATAAGTTTCAGCTTTTCTGGCCCAGTGGCTCTTGAGAAGAAGATTTTTAAAGATGTTTTTTATATATGTCAATGTAAAACTTGGATTCCCTATTGTGGCCCCGCTTTACCCCCGGGGGTCATGATTTGAACAATTTAGAATCTACACTACCCCAGGATGCTTCCTTATAAGTTTCAGCTTTTCTGAACAATTTAGAATCTTTACTACCCCAGGATGCTTCCATATAAGTTTCAGCTTTTCTGGCCTAGTTGTTCTTAAGAAGATTTTTAAAGATTTTTCCTATATATTTCAATGTAAAACTTGGATTTCCTATTATGGCCCCGCCCTATCCCCGGGGGTCATGATTTGAACAATTTAGAATCTACACTATCCCGGGATGCTTCCACATAAGTTTCAGCTTTTTTGGCCCAGTGGTTCTTGAGAAGATTTTTTAATGACCCCACTCTATTTTTGTCTTTTCTTGATTATCTCCCCTTGTAAGGAGACTTGGCCCTTTATTTTAAGAATTTAAACTCCCCTTCACCCAAGGGCACTTTGTACCAAGTTTTTTAAAATTGGCCAGTGGTTCTTGAGAAGTTGAAAATGTGAAAGTTTACAGACGGACGGACGGACAACGGGTGATCAGAAAAACTCACTTGAGCTTTCAGCTCAGGTGAGCTAAAAAGCAATTATTGGAGATTCTTAAAGGATAAAGAAGATCTAAGGAATTCGTAAATCTTTAATGATACATTATCTAATGACCCTAATAAATGCTTTGTACAACACGTTTTTATACATTTATTAACTATTGAATCATTAGGAATTTAAATTTGACACCTGATCCCACCTCTGATATTTTAGAGGTCCGGGAGGGTTAGTGTTAGAGATCAGTGTTTGCTCTGCTCCTGATTTTTATTGTTTGAATGGACTTTTGAGCTTGAATACTGTTCGTTGTCTCCATGTGTTTCTTTGATTAGGTTTAATATCCCATTTAAACCGTTGATACAACCGAATCCAGAATGTTGAATGAACTTTAGGTATATGTTTGTACTTAGCTAATGCCACAAAAACATCGTTTTTAAGTAATATATGAATTACTTAAAAACTACTGTATTATCATATTATATACGATGAAGTATGCTTGGTGGCAATTTGACCAGTGTGTGAATGTAAATGTATATATGATTGTAAATATTATCGATAGGATGTGTGTCTGAATCTGAAATAATTAAATTTGGTTATTTTGGTAATAAAGTCCGAAACGGTATTTGGACCAGTGTATATTACATTATTTTCATGAGTTTAATCAAGTGGATGATTGTTTTTCAAAAGTTTCATCATGATGTTATAAATAATTGCATAATATACTTGAGATTAAATAACGGAAAGTGATCTCATAAAAACTTCAAACAATACAAATTTGCGAAAATAGCATAAACACGGACCCTTGGAAATTCCAGAGGTGGGATCAGATGCCTTGAAGAAGTAAGCATCCCCTGATGACCCGTCATATTGTGCATTGATCAAGTAGGAGGAACATTCCGTAGTCACATTTAGTTAAAAAACAAAGGTCTAACAATTGGTATGAAACAAGTCGACCCAGAGATAGGTTATATTTGCTAATAAGGTCATTATAAGGACCTTAGAATTTACGATTGAAATGCTGACTTTTTGTTGAAACCACTATAACATGAACTTATCTTTGAGTAGCTATAACCTGCCCTGGTTCATAAATTAAAAATTTGAAAATCAAAGCATGTTCTTGAGCAGCGAATAAGTTGGAAAACAGAGACACCATATCCAGGTGACAGGGAAATATTACTATATTTTACATTTGCAAATGTTTTTATATAACGCTATTGAAAGCAACGCGTATCTATAGCCGTATAAACACAGGTTCCTCGCGTCATAAACGTTCGACGTAATTTCTCAGTGACGTCATAAAGGGTCGACGCGCAAACAATGGGTCAAATGCGTGCCGTTGAGTTTGAAAAATAAAACATTTCACGCGTTAAAGATTATAATCAGGAAAATATAAAATATGAATAAGTCATAAATGTAAATATAAGTAATAATGTATCATTTTTAAACATCTATCGGATATAAATACGGGTTGGTACGAGATCAAATTTACCATAAAGCCCTTCGGGCTTTATGGAATTTGATCTCGTGACCAACCCGTATTTATATCCCGATAGATGTTTAAAAATGATACCTTATTTCTTATATAAATAAGGAGAGTTGACTATGGAAAAGTCATATAATCTCGTTTGTCATACAATTTAGTTGAAGTTTGCCTTTATCGTCTATAATCAGTAAAATATCAAAATTTGAAACAGAAGTGGCAGACTCTGTAGCGTCTTATATTTCAAGCTCACTATGATGAATTGAGTATAAATGGAAAAATCTATTGTTAATTGATAAAACGTCGTCGAGTTGAAGGCTACGGCAAGTGTTTTCTTCTTCTCATGTAAAAGTTTTTGAATAAATTCTGCTTTATAGGAATATAAAAACAGATCGCTAAAAAGTAGTGCAATGAGTGTCCAGCGAGATTATAACAGTTTGTTGGAAAACTTGGTCTCCGAAGTTTGTTAGAAGATTTGTCTCCAAAAACTACATAAATGTTGTCAATAAGGAACTCCAGCATCTTTTTAATATCAACTTCAAAGTACTTGTCTGTAAAACTAGCCAGGAAAACTTAAGGTAAAAAAAATTAAATTCTGATTTTTATATATTTTCAGATTGCAACTTAATTCAACAGAAAAATTCCTTAACTCAATAAAACAGGAGCACATTTTACAGTAAATCATAAATAGAAAAGCTTTCCGATATACAGAGTGTTCTTATTGCAGGGCAAAATTCGAATTCCACTGTAAAACCTCTCTATGATCTCTATGTTCGTTGCAAAGAGACACATGTAATAGACCTTGACACCAAATACCACGATGTAGTGAATGGCCGTTTAAAGTATGACGATTCCATGATACCAGAGTCTTGTGACAGGCACCAAAACAAGTGTTTAGAAAGCTGGTGTTTCTTATGTGAATTTCCATTCTGTGTCGAGTGTGATAAACACAGAAAACACGAAATTCTGGATATTTTCTCAGCTTATAAAATATGCAGACAAAAACACAAAGACAAAATCATTCAGATCAGATCTGACTTATCCCAAACAATCAAGCTATTCTTGAAAGTATAAAATCTGATTTCAAAAAAGGTGTGCAGTCAAAATTAGCTGACCTCAAGCAAAGAATTACAAAAAGAAGTAGGAGGTTGAAGAATCTGACAGATTCAGTAATGAATGATATCAGTATATTAAAACTCTCATTGAAATATAGTTTACAAGAACCAAAAAGAAACACTACCAAAACAGAAACGTTTATACACAAATTAGAACAATTGTTTGACAAGCCGGTACAACTCCTTTTATATCTAAAGAAAACCCCGATCCCGAGGGTTAAGAACATTTCTGATATTTTTCCTTCTCAGTGAATAGTGAAATCAACATGGTAGATGAAATGAAGTTACTAGTAGAGATCCAGTCCATAGCCACAGGAAAAAGAAAAGTACGAAATGAGCACCTATTGACAATGAAGTTATCACCCGGTGTTTTTCAGAAATATTTAATAGTAGAAGGTGTAGGAGAGGTTTTTCACATTTCCTGTGTGACAAATGACATGGTATGGATTAGTGATCGAAATGGACAGATAATATTAAAAAACAGAAAAGGTACCCGTATGCACATTTTGACAGATACAGTTGGTCGTACTGGAGGACACTCTGTGACTCCTGAGGGGAATCTAATTTATATATACAAGTATTATAACATCAACAAATTATCTACAGACAACAAAACACTAAATACACTTGTGAAGAGCACAGAACCATGGGGAGCAAGGTGTGTCTACTGCTCTCCCTTCAATGCAGATCTCTTGATTGGGATGAGGAGATATGAAAGAGATAACCCTACTTATACGGATGCCAAAGTGATGCGGTATAACAGCACAGGACAACAAATCCAGGCCATACATCACGATAACACGTGTCATAAACTATTTAAATTTCCCAAATATATCACAGAGAACCTTAATGGAGATATAATAGTGTTAGATTTATACCACCATGCTGTAGTAGTGACAGATCGTGGGGGGAGACATCGCTTCTACTACACAGGACCAACACCAAAATCACAACTATCACCTCAAGGAATCTGTGTGGATGGGCTATCACACATTCTGGTGTCTGATGCTATAAGGAACACAGTTCAGATGATTGACAAAGAGGGTAACTTTCTAATGATGTTGTTCAACATACAATGCAGGATAAATGCAACTCAGGCTTTGGGCTATGACAACAGAAGTCACCTTCTCTGGGCTGGAACATCGGATTCTGACAGTACATTATGTGTTTACAGATACATATACCAGAGAAATCATCTCATTTAAGAAAAAAAATATTTCATGTAGCTGAATAGTGATATTGACCTGGAAGTAAAATATGTATGTGGGACTCCAAAGTGCGATGGGACTCCAACGTCCGACGGTCTGCACCAAACCCCGATTATTTGACACTCCAAAGTCCGATGGAGCGGAAAAACAATAAATCTTTATGACATCATTGTTCTTAAGGAGGGATTCTTGTCTGGTTTCTGACTAGATGAAATATTCAAAGTATATTTGCTTATATGTTTTATATATTTAGATGTAAGAGATTTAAAAGATGATATTTTTCTTTCCTCATCACAATTGTACAACTATAAATAGAAATGGTAAACTGAGTTTGAAATCTAGCACGGACTATATTTTTGGCGGAATGCCGGCGTATGAAAATATCTTCTTTTCTGCATCTCAAAATAATTATAGAACAATGAATTTAGTTATAATTATTACACAATCAAAGACTTGAAGAACATTTTTAAATGTAAGTTAAATAAATAATATGGGATTAAAGTTTTCAAATATTTCAAATAAATATGATTTTCCAAATAATTCCAAAATTAGGCATTGAATAATTCCAAAATCAAGGAAAATGCTGAGTCAGCAAAAAATGAAAAACATGCATATATTCCCACATCTATCACAGATATATCTTTAAATCTTATTCTATATTTTTGATTGTGAAAACTGTTAAGATCATTATCTTGAGAATAACAGCAATGAAAAAGAAATTCTTTTAGTATTTACATTTAATTTGAGCCTGAAAGATAAGAGATTTTTTAGTCCATTGAAGCTGAAAATCGGCTGGTTGCTAGGGAAATTTCTTTACCCATGTTTCCATTGTAATCGTGAATCAGAACATTTTTCCTTTTGCATACATGGTTTATAGGGCAAAAGGAAACTATGTGTGAAAAATCATCAAATTCTGAGAACCCTCATATATCACCTACATGCCTATTTTGCATGATTTTTACAAAGAACTGTACTTAATTTCTAACATCACTTGCTCGATTAATTTAGAATGTTATTCAATTTCAGCATCATAAAAAAAGACATACAAAATAAGATACAAGAATACAGTTATTTGTAGGAAGAACTTTACACCAATTTCACTATTTTTACTTTCATATGTATATAAGTATCGGATAACGACCTAATTTAAGATCAACCATGCAAAAACAAGCAAACCTTTTCACTCCTAACACGTTTTTTTTATATATTTTATTTCAGGTGATTTGTGGAATCTCCAAATTTAGCAAGCATAAATTGAAACATTGTGAATGTATGCATATTAATATAGTCATCAGGAGAAGATAGTTCTCCTCCAGAAATATCAATTACAATGGGCATGCCCTGGGAATACTATAGTATATATTTCACCTAATGTGCTATCCCCGATAATCTTTGCGTAAATAGTGTAATAATGTGTAAAACCAGAACAATACAGTCCTTATGGCTCTATTCTGGGTTTATAAATTTCAAAATAAAATCAATCTATAGCAGCCACTGCAGATGGCAATTAAGACAAACTTGTCGCATTTGCCTCCATTGCAAAACAAGTTCCAAAGTTTATGAAGGCATTCCTGACGAATGAATGCTGCCCCCTCCTCCCCCTTTCTTCTGATAATTTTATCAGACTTACTAATTTATCAAAAATACATGAATTTCTTACATAGCATACCTTCATTTCGATATGTTTTTTGTTAAGTTTTAGAGGTTGTCCCTCTATGATACATAAAAATACTAAAGGTAAGAAATAAAATCTTATAAACAATCAGGGAGCCATGTTTCGAGGGAGATTTTCAACCTTAATTCGATCACCATTTCAAATGAAATTTATGCAAGAGGCAGATCAGGGAGATTACGTTTTACGATCCTCTTCTGTTTACACCAGGTCAAATGTTTTATTTGTCCTAGATTCGTGTTTATTAACCAGTCTGAGACTTCCTTCCACTGGCAAGAGGGTCATTAATCAGAAATACTGTGGTTCATATGCAGAACATATATGATTTAGTACTATGAACATTATCATACGGTTTTTGCTAAAATATATTATAAACATGATACTTTTAAAGGAATACTTTCTGTTTTGAACCATTAAAAAATGCAGTATCTAATGTATCCAGTAGCCAATTTGGTTGATATTAATTTTATTTGTATTAGTTATTTCATTATCCATAGTCGCTAATAGCTGTAGAAGTTCACCCAACCGAAAATGTCGAACTAAAAATGTTATGTATGAAATCCGGAAAGGGCTATGACGATGACGATGAGGCTGTAGCACGATGAAGCGATGGTGCGAGGACATGGTGGTGCGATGACGATGGCGCAATGATACGATGACGATGAAGCTATGTTCACTATCGCTCCATCATGCTATCGCACCATCGTCATCGCATTGTCGCGCTATCGCATCATCGTTAGCGCTATCGCACCGTCGCGTCCTCGTCATCGCGCCATCGCTTTATCGTTATCGCGCCATCGCATTATCGCGCCATCAACCCTTTAGTCATGCTCGATGGTGCGATAGTGAACTACGTGGCCCTATCCGGATTCTATATTGTTGACACAATTGCCTTTAAAAACTAATAACAAAATTTTTGCTGCTGTCCATGAATTTATTGATGAAAGGTGTAGATTTTAATTTGCTATGTTATTGAACAGAATTTTCACTTATATCACTTGTTAAAATATTTCTATGTATTATATTAATTGCATGACATATTGTTGTATAACTATTTAAGAAGAGGAACCAGGAAGTTGAAAGAACCTGTTTCCAGTCCTTTTGATTCATTCAATATACATCCTCCCAACGCCCGCTATGACACGCCAGTCTTTTGATGTATGTAACGTTATGATTTGAGGACACATTACTGAACGTGGAGGAACGCCATTTCTGAAACTGAAGGACATCCATCAGGAATTCTAGAATCTTCGCAGCCAAGGGTTTTCGGTCCACTCAATCTCCATATCAATCTCCTATGCAGAGTTGTCGTTCGTTCCTCTCTCAGACACCTCTGCAATGGGCTCACGTCAAGATTTTTGACATAACGTTAAAAACATAACATTTCAAGTATTATTTCAAATTAAACTTATAGTTTTATATCTATTTAGTAAATATCTATCTTTAAGGACTATCATTACCCCCAGACATTTAATTATAATGAATTAAAAGAAACGCACTATTTATCGTGCTTATCACTGTGATATACGCGAGCCAATGACAGAGGTGAATGTATGAGCCGATGGTAGAGAGTGTCCCCATATATGAGGAGCAGAGTGGACCAAAAACCATTACATTAGCTAGCGAAGGTCAAAATTGGTCAAATGTCTTTATCTTCATCAAAAAAAAAAAAAAAAAAAAAAAAAAAAAAAGAAAGAAAAGAAATCCAAAATGCAAGACTGCCTATTGCTTGTATTGTTTTAAATAGACTTTCCAAGACAACAGAAGGTAATGATCTGGGTTGTTGTTTGAGCCTGTTTAAATAGTTTAAAATTTTATATTTATGAATAATTCAATAATCTCGATATGTATATAACACCTGTCATTTTTAACAAGATTCGGAAACACATAATGTTAAACATAATCCAAGATTGTGAAAATATAGGCCTGGTATTTTTCTTTTAAAAAAAACTATTTTTTTAGTTTTTGATGTTGTAAATAATTACTCATAATTATAAACTGTGTTTTCCCCTTTAAAAATAAGAAAGGAAGGGGGTTGTACTAAGAAACAATGCAAGAGGAAAAAAATTATTTTCGAAATATGTCAACCTACTTTAATTTCATAATTTTTTAAAAGTATACGACTCTTTTTTTTTTTTTTAATGGGCAATGATTTACAGAAATAGAATATTATTCTTTAAAGTGAGTGATTTTTAGGTATTGTTTTTTTCAGTTTAGACAACTATTTTGTCTCTCACGGGGAACATGGTCAGTTCATAAAATACCTGGTATCTTCACCAAGTGAAGTTTAAAAAAAAAACATATCCTCTTTCTTTTTCAACAACAACAAAATAAAATATCATTGTGCGTCATGCACCGCACCTGGTTCCGGATGATGTCATTGTGTGAGAGTTATCGCCCTTAGACTGATATCCCACAATGCACTGATCTGTCACTCGCATGTGTAAATATAGCGGAACAGTTCCAAGTTTGGAAACTTTTTCTGATGCATGCAGCCATTTGCATGATGATCTCTCAATTTAAAACAGAAAACAGTCTCCAAACGACGATTATTTATTGTTAAAAAATCGGTATTGACCCGTGGTGTGGTTCTCGTGGGCGCAAAGTTGAAGAGGAAGTGAAGTTTTTCAATGAATCAAATCCAAGATGGCTTCCACTAACGTTAGTTTGGACGACATAGACTTGTCGAGTTTGAGGGTAAGAAAGGGATTATAAATTCAATTAGAATAATACATATTTTACACTCGCGGAATATATATTTACAATCATTTTACAAAGAACGGGATTGTTTTCTATTCCCCTATCAAATCAGCTGATTAAGTAACAACATAATAACAGTGAACAAAGAAGAATATCTGTCAGACTCTCTAAAAAACATTGATCCTCTTACATAAGGCAAATTTTATGTTCTGCATTATCATTTAATCCCAGGGGATTATTCCTACCCATTTCAATATCTTTATATATCATTTTTTGTAAGAATACTATAGAAATGAACCAGTGGGGTACCCCAACTTCCAGAAGAAGCAGAAACTTTATATTTTTCTTCATACTTTGCAGGACCCAGCAGGAATATTTGATCTGATTGAAGTTGTTGGAAATGGAACTTATGGCCAAGTATACAAGGTATGGAGTCCACCAATGGTTTGGATATTTAAAAAGCCAAATTTTTAATTTATGGCAAGGCATATCTGTGGAAGATGAACTGTAAACATACATTTTACCATGTTTACAGTCAGCAAGTTTTCCTCATATGATGAAGTGTTTTACATGTTCAGAAGAACATGTGTAACCTACAGTAAAATACAATAAAACAAGCATATACATATAGCAAAGATGCCTATAATGAATTGACATTTACAGCAAAGTGAATTCACTCCCCATGGCTTTAAGATATATTGTTAACTTTATGGATAATAATGAAGCCTTATTTTACTCTACTTCAGAAATACATGTGGGGAACATGATCAATGCTTCCATTAAATGTAGCTTTTTTTTTCTTTTTTAGGGGAGGCACACAAAGACGGGACAGCTGGCAGCCATTAAAGTGATGAATGTCACCGAGGTGAGGAGTCTTTTGTTAAAGGTGTAAACAAGGACAGTATCCACGAGAGTAAACATTATTTTTTCTTGATTGTATTGATATTAAGTGCTTGATTTATTTTTTCGTTGAATTTTATTTTGAAGGATGAAGAAGAGGAAATTAAACTAGAAATAAATGTCCTCAAGAAGGTTAGTGGGTACAATAATGTAACATGTGACAAATCAATGTGTTGAAAAAAATGTGTACATTACACAGTGTTTTCCCAAAGAAATGGCTACCGGCCAAATTAACCGCTTCAATTGCTAAAAATGCCGCTTTGAAATAGAAACATCAAAATTTAATTGTTGTATTACTTGTAAGGTCCACAGAGATTTGTCATAAACCTCATCCCAAAGCCTGTTACAATTGATCTCTAACCCTTTACTTTGAAATAAAGGGAAAACACTAATTACATGTTTATTATGAAACATTACAAGTGCCCACCCTCCATTCTCAATTTTAACAGACATGTGATTTCTATAATATTTTTATGTTGCAGTTTTCTAACCACAGAAACATTGCCACGTATTATGGAGCATTTATCAAGAAAAGTCCTCCAGGAAAAGATGATCAATTATGGGCAAGGAATTTAATCTGAATTTAATGTAGAATTTAAGTGTTGGTAAATTTTTGGAATTTGATTTTAAAACTGATTATTTTGATCAGTCTCAGAAAGACAATTATTGACAAATATGATGAAATAATTTTAAAATGCATTAAGTGAACATCTTAGTAAATAACCATGCAACTGCTCAATAATTTTCTTGTTTGAAAGTTCTAGATTTGTCTCAAGAAATGAATCAAGAACAAGTATGATAATAATACATTACATGTGTGTATAGGTCTGCAGAAGTAACAACAACACCTTTCTTAAATTTAATTTTGTATATTTTGTTGTAGCTGGTTATGGAGTTCTGTGGAGCGGGTTCAGTGACAGATCTGGTCAAAGGTAAGGGTCAAAGGTCAAAAAATTATTTAAAAATGGAGAGGTAAAATATATACATGTATGCATAATGCATAGATAAAATATGCATGATGTGCAATGTCTTACATTAGGAAAACAAGAATGGAAACTTAAAAACTTCTCTGCATTCACAAGTTATTGTTCAGCAATTTTAGTATTAAAATGTTAAACTTTTATATTTTAGCCACAAAAGGAAGCAGTTTAAAGGAAGAATGGATTGCGTATATTGGCAGAGAGATGTTACGGGTAAGACTTCTTGTTTGTCAGAGTATAAGCTTTGTGTAATGTTAATGGAAGGTTTGAAAAACCTTTATACTTGCATTTGAGACTGTTGATCCCTTTCTTTAATACAACAGTGTTTCATCTACCAGCCTTAATCTGCTTATGATCAAGGGAAAAAAAGTTGTTGAACATGTTCAAAAACAGATTGCAATGTTTTGTTTAGATTTTCTTTCTTAGTTTCATGCATATTGCACAGTAATTTTAGAGTAAATTTTGTAATCAAACTGATTAGGTAGGCCTTAGACGGTTTATTACTGTTAATTAAAGAACTAAATTTAGAATTTCTCCATTTCTGATTATGCTGAGTAGTGCTCAAGTTTGTGTACTTCTTCCAGGGTCTTGCACATTTACACAGCAATAAAGTAATACACAGAGACATCAAAGGACAAAACGTTTTACTGACTGACAATGCTGAAGTCAAACTAGGTCAGTGAGAAGCATATTTGCTCTATTTATTAGATATTTGGTAAATGAATACCTACAAAAACATCCAGACAGATATGTAAATGTTTATAGATATTCTGATCTGTTTTTAGTTGATTTTGGAGTCAGTGCCCAGTTAGATAAAACCATTGGCAGAAGGAACACCTTTATAGGGACACCCTACTGGTAAGTCTCAGTGATTTTACAGTTTGATGTGTTCTTCAATCTTAATTTTTTATTGATTTTGGATTAATTGACGAAATTTACGTACCAAGGCAATCTGATGTCATTTGTGTTAATTTACTTGTTAGTGAATTTTGCATTTGTGAATGTAATCTGCTTGGTCTGAGAACTTTGAATTCTTATTTTGATAGGATGGCCCCCGAGGTGATTGCTTGTGATGAGAACCCAGATGCTACGTATGACAACAGGGTGAGTGTACACAGAATAAAAGTACTGGGGCTGAATTTAATTGTAGTTTGGGAGATGGAAACATCAGTCACTGAAATATAGAAATGTCTTGTAGAATTTAAATTATTTTCCCCTGTGTGTTTTTCATGCATGATTTTCACAGTTTCAGTTTCTTGCAACTAGATGCAAGAATGGAGTTTTCCTAAATATGCAAAAAGGGAGATAACTCTGTTTTATTTATCGTTTCAGAGTGACCTTTGGTCTCTAGGTATAACAGCAATAGAAATGGCAGAGGGAAAACCACGTAAGTATTCTGGAATTAAAGCATTAAGATGATTTATTTGATTGAGAGGCACATAAGATAACACTTTAAAATGTATGGTCATTTAATTATCCTTTTGTTGCCATGTGCTAACATATACTTTCAAGTGACTTTTGTTACACATGTATTAAGATTTGATTTTGTACAGATAAATCAGAATTAGGTTTTGCAATATTTTCTGTTTTCAGCGCTGTGTGATATGCATCCCATGAGGGCTCTCTTCCTCATTCCCAGGAACGCTCCACCGAGATTAAAATCAAACAAATGGTATGTAACAGCCAGGATTGAAATTAAGAAAAGTAATGGGCTATGATAATGTTCAAGATCGCAGGTAGCCTTGCTCATAGGCTAGATAAAATATCTATTAAAAAAAGTATGAATTAATACTTGTTATGGCTAGACTTACTGTTCAAAATAGTAGCTTTAATTAGAGCTACATAGCAGCTAAAATCTTAAACACAGCCCAGAATTATGTGACAAATAGCTGAGTGTCTTACTGATAATGGTTAGATTTTATTTGTTTGCACATATATCTTTTCTCCTTTAAGATTTTCATGGTCCACCTGTTTAACATCACAGACCTGTTTTTTTTTCTTTTAAGGTCCTCAAGATTCTCAAATTTTGTTGAGACTTGTTTACTGAAGGATTACATGCATCGGCCAAATACAGAAACATTACTTAAACATCCATTCATAAAGGACCAACCCACGGAGCGACAGGTCCGAATTCAGCTAAAGGACCACATAGACAGGCACCGCAAAAAGAGACCGGGTCAGTAACTACCATATAAATAGCACCACTCAAAGAGACCCAAATTAGTACCACAATATTAATAACACCACTAAAAAAGACCCAAATGAGAACCACCATACAAATAGCACCCAGTTAGTTTCACTAATTAAAAAACACCACAAAAAAAGTAATAAGTGTGACTAAACTAAGAAACATTTTGTTTATATAAACATCTTTGAGAAGTGGTTCTGTAATAAAGTTGAACTGATTTACGGCTTCTTCAAAATTTATGCAATGTTCAAATATCCAAAGACATATATGCTCTAAATCACATAATACTGTAAATGTTTACAACAACATTGAAATTAAAAATGCCTTGAATTTTTAATGCAGTATAAATTCTGCTTTGAAATAAAGTTGAACTGCTTTTGAATTAACTTCAGAAGATTGAAATACCAAAGTTGAAATGAAATTGAGATGTACTAGATTTTACTAAGGAAGTTGAAGTGGAGGTGAACTGGATTTTTTGAGAAAATTAAATTGATTTTACTAGAAATTGATTAGGTGTTCATGATCTTTCCAAAAGTTGAAGTTGAGGTGTAATTTAAAATTCAGGTTTACTTGATTTTACTAGAATTTTAAATTGAGGTGTACTTGATTTTAATTTGAGGTTTACTTGATTTTAATTTGAGGTGTACTTGATTTTATTTTGAGGTGTACTTGATTTCAGATGACGAGGACAACATGACGGAGTGGGTACCCAGTGATGTGGAGGAGGAGGAGGAAACAAACATGGCCGGTGAACCAAGGTAAACAAGGGGGGGATGATCAGAGAGGGTTACTGTGGCCATGGGTTGTACTTGTGTGGGAGTTGCTGCTGAATGTAGGCAAGCAAGATCTTATTGGTTGGGGTGTGGCTTATATATACATGTACATGTAGGTTTGAATGTATTGTAAGGAAAATTTATATAGTTTAAATTTTTTTGCTGTATGAAGTGTGCATTTGTTTCATTTGTTTACTAGTAAAAAAAAAAAAAAAGGTGATGCTCACCCATTATTTGCTGTATATTTGACTTGATTTTATATGAATTTGTTGAAGAACTTCAGTAGTTAATTAAGAATGCATGGAGATTAATGTGGTACCATGATTATATGTTGTGAATGTAAAACATTGTGTTTTTCACAGAATATGGAAGAAATACTACATAAAATAGGCATTAAGTCTGGTCTATTCATTCAACTTCTCGACACATGTCTAATTCAAGGGCAATAGTATACTAAAGTTAGAATCTATTCCATTCAGAGAATTATAGTAATTACCCAGACATGATTTAATATCAGAGGAGTAGGTAACCATTTTCCAAACTGTCCCTCGAATTTGGGGAGACATGCATTGTAATAATAAATGACCTTCACCTAAATTTCTCATTTATCATGAAACAAACCACTCGGAGTGGGGGGAGTAATATGTTTAAATAAGTCTGACTGATCCTAATGGCTCATAAACAATTAAAACTTCTGGAATACATTTGTGAGGAGTATTTGGTATAGACTGTAAGTCTTCTTATGAGAGGGTACATTGTCACCTAAAAAGTACATGTTTTTGGGACTCTTTATATGTCTCTTATATCCTTGAATCAGCTTAGCAATTTCACCCCACTCTTTAGTAAAATTCAAAAATATAGCTGCACTGGGAATGAATGTACAGACTATTGGACATTTCTACCCCACAATAGATACTAAGTACCAAAAGAAACCCCAAACTGATAGTGTTTGCACAGTGTATCTGTATAGCTGTTTTATGTATGTTATTTATAACTTTTGACCTTCCCTTTCCCAGCACGGCGAGACGTAGAGATAGCAAGCCGGATCCTAACAGACCAGTGTAACATTACCTGTTCTTATTCCTTCTCTGTGTGAATATCTGACCAGGTTTCAGGGTTGTAAGACTGCAGAATTGTAGGTTATAAGAATAAGATCAAAGAATTGTAGGCTATAAGATCATAGAATTACTTTGTGTTTATTCAAAAAGAATTTTCCAAATCTGTAGGGTTTTCAGGAGATAGTGTTAATTTTTTTCTTTGAATGTAAGTACGAAGAGGCAGAATGAAGCAACTTTTGATCATTTTAATTACTTATTAAATAATCTGTAAAGCACATCAAAACCAATTTTATGTTTGTTCTCATAATGTCGAAGTCCCAGTATCTGTATTACTAATTTTATAATTTAAACAAAACATACATGTATGATAATGCATTGAGGCTACAGATTATGACCTGATGTCAAACCTAGAAACCTGGCCAGGTGTACACATCTTGCATGTTAACTTGCATGTGTCTTAAGGTTCATCAACCCTCTAAAAAGAGTCTGAGATAACTCTTACTTGATTGAAAAATCCATTTAAAATATTTTCAATTTTAAAGTCAATTTATGTCAACTTTTGCACCACGAGGTATGTGGAAATTGTTTGCATTACAAATTTTATGTAGATTTCTTTTGGAAAATTATTATCAATTAAGCGAAATTTTATATAAGTGAACAGAAGGACAATGAATCTTAACTTCTTTTTTATTTTAAAGATATTAAATTTTTCAGTGACAAGCTGATGAGAGATTAAACCATATGTTTTCACTTTCACAGTGATAATTATGTATGAATATACCTCACTGACAAACCTGTATGATCAAGTGCATGCAATATCTTTATAAAATGGCTAGCTTAAGAATGTATATTCCAGGAGAGCTTGTTGGCAATCTCTGATCCTGGTTAACCTCTTGATTTCAGATATTTTGTAAATTTTATTCACACTATGTTTTTATGAATATTTTTCACTTTGGCAGACACTGCCAGATTATAAATTTTAAGAATCAGATATCTTCTCTCTTAATTCCCAAATGTAACAACTTTTGAGTTCAAACATTTTATATGACTTTCTTTTTACAGAATAATTAAATCAATTGATCCTAAGTACAATCTCTCTGTTATGCTGTTTCTTTATTTTCTTTTCTTTTTTTTAAAAAACATGCTTTTTAAGACTTCTCTTTGGAACACAAATGAATAAAGTGCATATGCTTTTGAAATCCTTATTTATGAAAGTCTGTCCCCTATACATTGAAATCAAGATCTCTGAAAAAGAAACATCGTTTTTAAAGATTTTTTAAAACTAAATCTTACATATAAAAAAGAGCTGTAACTACTGTATACAGGGAAATTTTCGCCCCCGTTTTATTTTTTGGCCCCTTTCGCCCTACCCTCATTTGGGCGATTTTAAAACGGGGCGAATTAAAGGAATACAGTATTATTTCTTAAACAAAACGATGACTGGGCGAATTTAAAATGGGGCAAACTTGTTTGCAAGTGTGAAAGGGCGAAAATAACACGGGGCGAAAATAACCCTGTATACAGTATATGTAAGGTCTGACTGTTTCTTTTAGCTCCATCCTCCAGATCCCAGGGGAATCCACACTGAAAAGAAACTTTCAGTTGATTCAACAGCGTGAAGGTCACCCCCAGAACTCCCGCCCCGTACCCGTCCAGCAGCAAGGTCGACAGGGTCAAAGGCCATCAAGTTCTAAACAGGGATGGCCTGGTCCCTACCAACCTCCACAAGGTCCAGGGAGACAGCAGCAGATATCCAGACCACCACAGTCCATAGGTCAGTATAAAACCAGACTAAGTCAGTATAAAATCAGACCACCACAGCCCATGGAACAATATGACACCAGACCACCACAGCCCATATGTCAATAAAACACCAGACCACCACAGCCCATATGTCAATAAAACACCAGACCACCTTAGCCCATATGTCAATAAAACACCAGACCACCTCAGCCCATAGGTCAGTATAACACCAGACCACCACAGCCCATAGGTCAGTATAACACCAGACCACCACAGCCCATAGGTCAGTATTAAACCAGACCACCACAGCCCATGTCAATAAAACACCAGACCACCACAGCCCATAGGTCAGTATAACACCAGACCACTGCAGCCCATAGGTCAGTATTAAACCATACCACTACAGCCCATAGGTCAGTATTAAACCATACCACTACAGCCCATATGTCAGTATACCACCAGACCACCACTGCCCATAGGTAAGTATAATACCAGACCACCACAGCCCAAAGGTCAGTATAACACAAGACCACCACAGCCCATAGGTCAGTATAATACCAGATTGCCACAGCCCATAGGTCAGTGTAACACCAGACTACCACAGCCCAAAGGTCAGTATTACACCAGACTACCACAGCCCATAGGTCAGTATTAAACCAGACCACCACAACCCATAGGTCAGTATAACACCAGACCACCACAGCCCATAAGTCAGTATAACACCAAACCACCACAGCCCGTAGGTCAGTATAACACTAGACCACCACAGCCCATAGGTCAGTATAACACCAGACCACCACAGCCCATAAGTCAGTATAACACCAGACCACCACAGCCCATAAGTCAGTATAACACCAGACCACCAAAGCCCATAGATCAGTATAACACCAGACCACCACAGCCCATAGATCAGTATAACACCAGACCACCACAGCCCATATGTCAGTATTAAACCAGACCACCACAGCCCATAGGTCAGTATAATACCAGACCACCACAGCCCATAGATCAGTATAACACCAGACTACCACAGCCCATAGATCAGTATAACACCAGACCACCACAGCCCATAGATCAGTATAACACCAGACCACCACAGCCCATAGATCAGTAAAACACCCAGGGTTCGACACTAACTTTTTAAGGCTTTAGTCCGGCCGGACTAGTGCTTCTTTACTTTTACAAGTCCGCACGCGATTTTATGAGTCCGTCAAAAAAAAAGTTTTTAAACATTAATTTAACGTGATAATTAATATACATTTTATACTATTTTTTTGAAATAAACAAAGCATTTACGTGAAATATATTATTCCACAGATTCATTGAAATCTCGCAATCAGCAAGTTCGATCGTATAAGCGATCTCATTCTTTTTTTCTTTTTTTTTTGGTCTTTACATTACATCCAAAACGTCCAACATCTTTCTTTTAAGTGTCATACTAAATCATGGTCGCTAAAACCTTTTACTTCATATCAATCAGTCGAAAAATAAAGCGCTGAATTGACTCAGAATTGCGTAACTACCCGCCAAAAGCTAGAAATCTAAAAATAAATGCGGGGTTTTCTAGTAAAAGTTGTCGAGAATCGACATCGGTAATTTATTCATATTGTTTTCCAGAAATTTTTATTGGTCCGCTCGGACTAATTAGTCACAGATTTTATTAGTCCGAATGAAAATGTATTAGTCTGAGACTAACGGACTAACGTTAGTGTCGAACCCTGACACCAGACTACCACAGCCCATAGGTCAGTATAACACCGGACCACCACAGCCTATAGGTCAGTATAACACCAGACTACCACAGCCCATAGGTCAGTATAACACTGGACCACCACAGCCTATAGGTCAGTATAACACCAAATCACCACAGCCCATAGATCAGTATAACACCGGACCACCACAGCCTATTGGTCAGTATAACACCAGATCACCACAGCCCATAGATCAGTATAACACCGGACCACCACAGCCCATAGGTCAGTATAACACTAGACCACCACAGCCCATAGGTCAGTATAACACCAGACCACCACAGCCCATAAGTCCATATATAGACCACTACAGTCAAGTGGTTAGTATAATATCAGACCCTACAGCCCATAAGTCAATATGAAATGAGACCACTACAGCCTATGTCAGTATAAGAGCAAACCATAGGTCAATATGAGATATAACACTACTACTTGTATATTTTAAAAATGAGGATGAATTCATACACCTGTTGAATTAGTGTAGAGAAGCAAAGAAATTAACTCAGAATACATTCTCTTCATTTCAAGACTATTTTGTTAGTTTTCTGATATTTCACCCCAAAGATTATAAATGTTATTTAAAGTGTTATAAAAACAGTAAAGTAGGGACAATTTAGCTCTTTGATATCTTCATACAACAGGTATTTATAGTCATGCATGGTAAATTTCGGTTGTGAAATTGCATGGTTTTGATGCATTGTGTTTCCAGTGGAGGAAGAATCCGAGGACGTGAACCGAGACCCGGAGGCCGAGGACAATAGTGAGTCCGGGTCAGAGGATGAAAACTCAGGTCACACAGACAATGTTCTTTTGCTATTTACTCAGGGCTTTTATCACATGAGCAAGAATTTGAATTGAACCCAGAGATGGGGAGAGTCCAGCGTTAACTTGCATGACAGGCTTCTTTATTTGCTTTTCAGTGCTCTAAGATAACCCAGATATGGTGGTTTAGAATTCTGCTGCCTCAGATCATTTACTTTTTCTTTGTCTTTACAAAGTTTTTTGATCTATAATATCAGTCTTCTTTTAAAAGTTTAATTTAGGGTGGTTAAGAAAATAAATTAGTAATGCCCATTTTCTTATAACTCCATATCTTAAAGTGAACAATATACAATATAAGCATTTAGTCAGTTTCTCATTAATTCATGAACCATTTCTTTCTTTTACCTGCAATTTTTTTTCTGCAACTGCAGCCTCCTTTCATGTGCTTTATGCAAAATACAGCTAAACTTCGATATCTCGAACACGGATATCTCGAATACCACGGATATGTCGAAGTACGGCCGCGGTCCCGACGAAATTTGCTTTATAAATGATTAAAATAAACCCCTCTATGTCGAACACGGTAATGTCGAATACCCCGGTTATCTCGAACTAAAACTGTGTACCCATTCATTAAAATCACATGCGTTATCTCGAAGTCAGGGTGATTTTCCGCTCTGATGATCAAGTCCGTTATGTAAACTGAACGCTCTATTGATAACAGCCACCTGTCTGTCACGCACGGGTAACCTGTGTTCCTGTGATCAACAGATAATAGCGCGATAATTATACAAGGTGTATGTATGGCTTACATTGATTTTAATTATGCAAGCCAAAAGTTGTATGTATTAGTCTTATCCATACGGTTGGATGACACATTGATTGTTTTGTGGCTGGGGTACGTTTGTCCTGATAATCGGTATTTAGAGATATGTTCAATACTGCACGCTTGCATAGTTTATACATATGAAAGCGAAAATTATAAACATTAAAGTGAAACAAAATTCTGTAATTTAATGCAATTAGAATTTATTTTTCCTATATCGTCCATACACACCATCATGTGAGCGTGTGTCGCAGTGAAAACTTGTGCTAGTGCCCTGTAATTCAGTGTTGTTCTATTGTTAGACAAAAGTGCGTGTTTCTTCTTTTGCATTTGATTTTATTATTGGTAAAATAATTTCTTTTAACTGATTATACATGTTTGAACATGTTTCTCCAATAATTTTTTTTGTATATTTTGTTTGCGTTATTCTGACAGCAACCGGTTTTAGATTTACAATGCGTAGATGATATCCTGTTATGTATACATGGGAAACGATGCTAGCGGTTGACTTGCCGGGTTGGAAGATGGATTTTACTTCTGTGCATATTATACAAAGTTTTTATTTTGTGAATTATAAAGAGAATGTAAAAATCTTTTTAATGCTAACTACATGTATATTAAAGTAATCGTATACATAATTTCAAACAAGAAGAAATTTGATATGTTTTTGCTGTTAAGTGCATATTCACTGCACTAAGTTTATTTGAATTACATTAAAATTATAACCCTCGATATGTCGAACCCCTGGATATCTCAAAGTTCATCAACGGTCCCGTCAACTTCGAGATAATGAAGTTTAACTGTAGTCATCATGTCTATTAGTGCAGTCTATAAAACTGAAGGTAATAAAATTATGACAAATTGAACATAAATAAATAAATGATACTCAATTCAATTGTTCAGCTGTTGCGATCCTCAGTCTCCATTGTCATAGTTACTCTGGACTTTTCCCACGCAACACACCCCCTCCCCCGCCCAACTTTACCTGCTTTTTATACCAGGAACTTTTCATGACAATTGGATTTTATCTATAAAGTAAAGACGACAAATTTTTTTTTAAAAATTTTGTATAAAAATTGGCATTGTACAATTTACTTGTACCAGGTGAAAAATCTTGTTTTTTTAAAAATTGGATTGTTCCTAGTGTTTTGTTGGTTTTAGAAGCAACAACAAAAAAATCCCATTATTAAAATTAGAAAGTTTTACAAAAGGTGGCAAGAGAAGATCAGCGGATTTCTAGACATGAAATACAGAACAAATAACTTTTTTTAAAGAAATAAATTACACTATTCAATTTGTTTATAATGCATAAAGAAAATTTGATGGTATGTTTTTCTTTTGTAAAACTTTCCTTGTAGAGAAACTGTAGCTAATGAAGTTTTCTCCTACAAAGTGCTTTATCCCAGAGTGAAAGATTTTCAACCTCCCTCTTTCTCCCCCACCCCTTTCATTTCCCCACCACAGCACAAAGCACATGTCTTAACATGTAATATATACTGTATCTAAAATTTTATATTTGTCTATCAGATTTATAAGTATCTTTTAAATTGAAACATATAGCACTGCTAATTCACCACTCAGTACCGGTACATCGTTATATCAGATAAGGTTCTGGGTTTGGTTTCACTGAATGTAAAATAACACAATAAGATAAGATGTATGAGTATTGTTGATGCATAAAGATTTCAGTTTAAAGTCTGTAATAGTTAAGTATGAGTTTCTTGAAATATTGATGTGATCGTGCATGCTTTTAGTTAGTTTTGTTTTTCCCTGTAAGAGGAAGGTAAGTTTGTGGTGTCCTTTGAGTAGAGCCATTTTGTGTTACCCTTCAGCTTGTCAGACTCATTCATAAGCAGCATGGGGGGAAAATAACAGGGCCACTTATGGCAGGAAGCTTACCAATTAATACTGACAGCAACAAGAGATTCAGGAATAAAAGTCTGATCAAAAGAAATTTTTACATTTATATTTTACTGAGATTTTGGTTTGCTACATGTCTTTAAAAGCAGCAATGTTTACAGAGGATTTATATTTTAGAAATGGAGGAGCAGAGTGAGAAATATATCTAGACATTCATGGGTGGACAAATCACTCTAAACATTTTAAAATATATCTTTTCCTGTGCTGCTCTTATAAGAACCTCTCTTTTATAGAAGTGTAATAATGATTCTTATGTAATATCAGTATTTTGTTTTTTCTCTTTCAGAGCAAAGACCCTCAAGTAAAGCCCAAAAACCAGAGGTATGTCTTCATTGATTTTACAAAAGCTTATCTCCATATGGGTCTCATAGGATATGCCCTGGTGCTTTTGTATTACAAATCATGATTCCTGATTCCAAAGAATAATTTGTTATATGTATATGTTCACCTGTTTATGATGTTAATGTCTCCCAATTTACTCGATACTTTAGAGCATGATCTGAGTACAATCAATTTTAAACCAAGACAGGCTACTGACAAATAAGATGATGTTACAGGGATTTCAACAACCTCATTTTAAGTCAGCATTTTGGTAATTTTATGGTTGCTATAATGACCTTATTTGCAAAGACAAACTATCAGTGGGTTGTATTTTGACTGACATACTTCATACCAATTTTTAGGTTATTGTTTTTTAATTAAATTTGACTACACATTATTCCATCTACCTGATCAATATATAGGGTGTATGGCAGGTATGACCGGTTGACAGGGAATGTATGTTCCCCCTAGGCACCTGATCTCACCTCTGGAATTCCAAGGGTCCTTATTTTATGGCCTGTTCACAAATGTATATTGTTTGTTGGTTTTTTGAGACCGATCCCTGTACGTTTTCATTGTATATTGTAGGACCTCGATAAGTATGCCAAACAGCTGATAGACATGTTTCCTGAGGAGGAGAAGGGCTCCTCAGATGAGGAGGAGGAAGAAGTGGAAGAGGAGGTGACAAGGGACGGAACTCTTCTTGCCTCAGAACCGGCCAGACCTCTGTACGTTTTAGGTTTTAGTTTTTGTTTTTTAATTTTCATTATAGAGTAGTTTTCATATTAGGAGATCAGTAGATAAAGCTCTCAAGTTAATAAACAATAACAGATAAACTTAGAAAGAATTTTCATTGAAGTTCTTAAAAAATTTAACGTCTTTTAGTCCATATACATAAAATATGACTTAGACTGAACTGATAATAACTTTTTGAAAACTTTGTTTAGTGCATCTGTCCTTAAAAATATATGTACATTTATTTTTATTTTTTTTTTACCTTTTTGATCCATATTTTTGAGAGGATGAGAATTTGCTTCCCCCCCCCCCCCCCCCCCCACCACCAAAAAAAAGCTGGTGGTATATAGTGATTGGGGTGTCTCTATCCCTGTGTAGGTTCTTACATATATCCATAATACTTGGGGGGAATCCATCTCTTATCTGCAACTCCTCCTATGTCACTGAATAAAACAAGACTTTCATAAAATTTTTATTACATAGTGCCATCGTGTACCTCCTATTTTACATTTCGATTAGACAGATATTTGGGGTTTTCCATAGAAATAAATGAACTTTGCTATTATACTCATATGGGAGCTGAGGGTATCATTTTTTGAGCACAGTGCTCAGAGTAACTCTAGTATTTTCACAGATTTAGAAAGCAGATGTTTAAAATGTAACTAAATTATTCCCTGAAGCCTTAGTAAGATTGTGAAACCTTGACTGTTTGTTGTAGAAAAAGAACTGCTATGTATGTGATGTTTGTAAGATTTTATTTAATACAATTTATCGAATGCATTATATACCAGAGTTCTGTATATATACATGATATAGTAAACACATATATATAATTACATACCTATACAGCTGCCCTCCCCAAAGCCTGTGTATAATCAGTTACAACCAACTTCATTTATGTCCCATTGAATACATGGTAGTTTCGGAGTAATGAATATTTATAGCCAGAAAAACTAACGAAAGTTTTAAAGAACAGATTGAAATAAGTCATAAAGGAAAGTGAGCTGGAAGAACACTTTGTTTTTTATCTAGCAGTCATGACTAGTTATCTTTGTACTATGATCAACTATTTAAAATAACTTTTCTGTGAAAAAAAATTAAAATTTATAAAATAATAAGGTAGTAGAGATTTAATACTGTATAGCGGATTTTCTTGGCGGGTGTTAAATTTGGCGTTATGCTTGCTCAAAGGTATGCCAATAATTTATTTTAGCAGACAAATGGTTTTTACACGTTGCAAAAGAAAACTATGAAGAATATTGATAATTTTAACGATTAAAATTTTAGCGGGTTACTACCATAACGCTAAAATAAACCAAAATTAGCATCCTGCTAAAATTACCTGCTGTACGGTATTGTGAGTGATAATCTAAGAGATATAATGAGACACCCTTGGATTTAAATATTCCCTTGCTTTAGATAAATTTCTCCACACAGCTTTGATTTTCCCAGAACCTGTTGAAACCTCCATACATTGACCATGCTGGAGTGTGTTTTAATTATATATTAATTGCTTGTTAATCGAATGAATATCGGAGATTTTTAAATGTATCTTTCCATATATATATATGATTTGATGATTATTACTTGGTTGTTAATTATTCAATGTAATATTTTGTATGAAATCTCTTTCTGTTAATTTTTTTACTAATCAGATTTTCTAAATTTACATTTGTAAGCAATCGTCATGTTTATTACTTTAATAACTTTCTGTACTGTATACCCTCTATAGTATACTGGGTTTGAATTACTTTTGCATTTAATCGGTATACCTCAAATTTTAATCTCACTTATGTTTTATTTAGCTATGTATTTCATGTAATAATTGAATGACCTGTGGGGTTTTTATGTTGTGCTGGATATGAAATGAAGTGGTGGTGTTTTACACAATTTAACGGGTAGATAACTCTGGCAGTAATTTTGAACAAACTAATGCTTTTGTTTTCTTGGATATGTTTACACTGCCAGTTAGTCATGTAAATAAAAGCAAAAATGGGAAAAGTAAATAAAAGCAGAGATGGGAAAACATCAATAAATAAAAAAAAGTTCAATAGATAAAGAGAAAAAAATTAAATGATTAGAGAAATCCGTGATAGCAATTGCCATATTGTAAATATACATGTATCTGAGCTTATGTGTGATTTTCAGGATTAAAGAATTAACTCTGTCTATTCTAGATATGACTTCAAAATGGTAAATTGAAATAATCAAATTATTTTTAGTTGATTCTTCTGATTATATTATTTGATCTTTTTTTTCTCTGATAGTTTAGGCAAATATTGATGATGTGAGATCTGTATATTTGTGGGTTTTTTTTCCAGACCTACTGGAGGTTTTAACCATGACACATTAGAAACCCTGTCTTCCATGGTCATTCACACAGGTAAGTGTTTGTCTGTCTGTCTGTCTGTGTTTATATTTAACCATGACACATCAGAAACCCTGTCTTCCATTGTCATCCACACCAATAAGTGCCTGTCTGTCTGTGTATCTTTGTATATGTTTGTATACATGTTTGTATGTGTACATGGTATTTCAGTCATTGAAGATGGTGACTTTTTTGAATTCTATTACAAGTTTATCACAGAACATATTTGCACTGTGTCTCATCACATTTTCACGTTATCATAATATGTATTCTTTATTAATTTATTGCATTGTTGTTATGACTGTTGTATCATTTTGAGCTGTCTGTATTTGTAGACATTTCACCATCACACTCCAACCAAAGCCCTGCCAACAAAGTCAGTGAGAACTCGCGTAACCGTGACAATGATGACGGAACCCTGGTCGTCCGAAGGGTAAGTCTAACATTCCACATGTTTGTCTCTCTGACCTAGCTGTCACGTAACTGTAACAATGTTGACGGAACCCTGGTCATCCGAAGGGTAAATCTAACGTTACATCAGATTTGTGCATAAACCCGGGGGGCCAGGGAAGTTCCCCTTTTATAATGACATAATCCCCCGGTTATTCTGGCATTGCCCCTCAACCCCCACTAGGGAAGGAACCAAAGACTCCCTTCTTATCCCTTTCTATTTCAGTTCTTATGGACAACCTTGTACGCGTGTTTGTCTTTCTGTCTTAGCTGTCACGTAACCGTGATGATGATGACTGGACCATAGTCATCTGTAGGATGAGACTAATGTTATACATGCGTGTATGTCTGCATGTATCTCCATCTTAGATGTTACTGGTGATAGTTGTTCTTTATGAGTGGACCTGTGTCACTGAAGCTGGTCATGAAGTTAGAAGGGTTTTAAGATAGAGGGAGAGGTTTGGGGGTAACAGGATTTTAAGGGAAAAGTTTAGTTTCATGGTAAACTGTGAAGTGTAAAGTTATAAAGCTTCTGTATGGGTCAGTATCAGTTGGAGTTGTGTATATGTCATAATGCATGCATACAAGACACATTTCTAGTAAGATATACATGTATGTTGAAGTATTATCATTAATTCCATGATATGTTTATTTATTGAAGGCAAGTCTGAAGACTTTATCATAAAGTTAATACTGAGTCAATAAAACAGGGGGGATTCAGATGGTGTGGAAGGGGGGGTACCTGTTGGATTCATTCAGACCCAGCTGGGCACAGGATTAGGGGGATTACAGGGCATTTGATGGTGGTTGTGATAACAAACTGTTACCATTGGGAGGTCAGGGGGGAGGGGCATTCTGTATGAAGTCAGGACCCCCCTGATTGTGTATAGGAACAGTGGGTGTTCTCCAAATTAATTCCTAGTTGTGAATGTAAGATTAGAATTTTTTTTCAATTTCTGGGTTGGTAAGGTTTAAGGTTGAGAAAAGGGAGAAAGAAGACTTTATCATGAGTTTACACTTTATTAATTATCAGTAGGGGAGGGGTCCTGTTTAATTTATTTATACCCAGCTGGTCAGAGGATCAGGGGATAACAGGGAATTAAAGGCATGTTACAGCTGGGAGACTGGGAAGAAGGGGGGTGTAGAGAGTTGTTTAACTGAAAGCCTTGCTTTACTGCGAGATCAAGAAGAGGGGTATTCCTACAAGAGCCTTTGTTAAGGTCCCCCTACCCTTATACCTCGGAGTCCAGACAAAAGTATCTCACCATAAACCTCTAGCATGCTGGAGTAAAGGAAGGGAAGCCCAGATTAAATTTTACCCCACCCCTCCCATGGTTGTGTTTGGTGATGGAGAGAGATCCTCTATTAATAATAAACCTGATGAAATTATGAATAACACAAATTACATGAAGATACTGGGATAATGGAAATTAGAACTTCTTTTGCGTGAATGAATAAATGTGATCTTAATTAAGTAAAGCACCATTTGAAAGCACATAGTGTAAAGTGTCAAACTGGAAAATAAAGAGGCTGGTTAAAATAGGCACAACTAGTACCTGGTGGAAATCTAACAGTCCCAACTGAACACTGAGCTAGTACTGGGGTTGGAAATCTAACAGTCCTAACTGAACACTGAGCTTAGTACTGGGGGTGGAAATCTAACAGTCCTAACTGAACACTGAGCTTAGTACTGGGGTTGGAAATCTAACAGTCCTAACTGAACACTGAGCTAGTACTGGGGTTGGAAATCTAACAGTCCTAACTGAACACTGAGTTAGTACTGGGGGTGGAAATCTAACAGTCCTAACTGAACACTGAGCTTAGTACTGGGGTTGGAAATCTAACAGTCCTAACTGAACACTGAGCTAGTACTGGGGTTGGAAATCTAACAGTCCTAACTGAACACTGAGCTTAGTACTGGGGGTGGAAATCTTACAGTCCTAACTGAACACTGAGCTTAGTACTGGGGGTGGAAATCTAACAGTCCTAACTGAACACTGAGCTTAGTACTGGGGTTGGAAATCTAACAGTCCTAACTGAACACTGAGCTAGTACTGGGGTTGGAAATCTAACAGTCCTAACTGAACACTGAGCTTAGTACTGGGGGTGGAAATCTAACAGTCCTAACTGAACACTGAGTTAGTACTGGGGGTGGAAATCTAACAGTCCTAACTGAACACTGAGCTAGTACTGGGGTTGGAAATCTAACAGTCCTAACTGAACACTGAGCTTAGTACTGGGGGTGGAAATCTAACAGTCCTAACTGAACACTGAGTTAGTACTGGGGTTGGAAATCTAACAGTCCCAACTGAACACTGAGCTTAGTACTGGGGGTGGAAATCTAACAGTCCTAACTGAACACTGAGCTTAGTACTGGGGTTGGAAATCTAACAGTCCCAACTGAACACTGAGCTTAGTACTGGGGTTGGAAATCTAACAGTCCTAACTGAACACTGAGTTAGTACTGGGGGTGGAAATCTTACAGTCCTAACTGAACACTGAGTTAGTACTGGGGGTGGAAATCTTACAGTCCTAACTGAACACTGAGCTAGTACTGGGGTTGGAAAAGTAATGGTCACAACTGATAATATACCATCTGTGTAACTTTCATAGATTTCTTAAATTGATGTGTGTGTGTGGGGGGGGGGGGGGTGAGTTTTATAAAATTGATTGGGGGGATGTAGTATGGTAGGAGAAGAGTGAGTCAATGCCTCCATAAAACTTTGTTAAGACAAAGACTGAATGTGTGAATTTATGACTTACATAATCATTATAAAGAAAGTTATTAAAAAGCAGATGTAAATGAATGAAAGTAATTAGGATCATTTTTAGTCAATATAATTTTGATATCTTATTAAACATCAATAAGATAATTTTTTACTAACTTTATCCTGACCTTGTTTTGTGGACCCCTTGTAGTGATCTGAAGCTGTGTACCTGTCAGATTGATATCACTTGTATATCTTTTACTGAGTTTTACCTGTGTAATATCACTTTTATCTGACAGTCTGATATCACTTGTCCCAATATCGTATTCACTCCCTTGGATTAATTTTCTTTAACATACTTCACCCATAAAGTATTCTTGGGTATTGGGTGTTCATTGATCTTGAATCAAAGTCAAAAGTTAAGTGAAAGCAGATCTTTATGTACTATTAAGTTTTGTTGTGTTATATTTCTGTTTTATTCCTAAGAGTTCTTTGTGATTAGTCATCTTCAGTTTATTGCTGACTTCTGCTACTGATACATAGGATCAAACGTAGAGGTGACACAGACAATGTGTCCCCATCACGATATCTGTAATAAATAACACATTACTTGATGTATAAGAATCATTAGATAATTAATATCACTGTTACACATTAACGACTTTATACAGTACGTAACACTACCCGTGTGTCTGTACACGGCTTTAATCTTCTCAGTAGGGATATACTATCCTCTATAATACACCTTTTTTTGACCTTATTTTTATAAAATGGATAAAGGCCACACTGTGGTGATAAATATTTGAAAAGCTGTGCCATCATTGTTCAGAAGTTATTGAATCTTCGTGTCGTTTGAGGTAAATTAACACCTGTACTGTACCTGACGACTCAGGTACAACAAAGAAGAGAAAACACTATGTCACTCTTATATGGCAGATATTGGGTAAATAGATCAAGTTTGTCCCACTATGTTGGGATAATTGTTTTTATAATATATGTATATTGGGGATGGGTTGACAGAGACATGGAAACTTGACATTGGGGGAGTGGGAAATCTAAAGACAGGGTTGGGGGGGTGGGGTGGTTGTTGGAGATAAAATTGATAGTCATCAGGCTATTGAGTACTTTTATTATATTGAATGTTAATTATTATTTTATTTGAATTTAGGGAAAATTATTGTACTAAAGGACTTTTCTTTGAACATAAACTGTTTTCCAACACAGATCAGGCATTTTTTAACAAAAGGCCAAAAGAAAGATACCCAGCTGGGACTGACAAAGTGTAATTTGTAGGGAGGGAGATTAGGTCCCACTGATTTTCTCTATTTTTATCTTTCTTTTTAAGAGATTGGGGAGATTTTGATTAATATTGGACCCTTCACTTCCTCTGACTTTAGGAAGTGTAGAAATGTAATCAGCAGGGAGACACTGAATTATTCATTATTTACAATATCCAGTTAGTTTTATTGGTCAGGGACTAGAAAATTTGGATCATTCTTCCCTTTGCTGTAAAGTCAATCCAGGACTTTGATCAAAAATGGAATAAATGGCCGTGTGTGAGTTGCCTGCTGACTCTTCAGCTGATTATCAGGACCTCCACCATCGATCTGGAGATCTTGAGAGATGGAAAGTATTATCATGGAGTAGAGCCTAATGCCGGGGAAACAAATTACTGGCATGTGAACCCCGATACCAACTCACTTCCCCAGGAGAGTCCAACTGGCTAATAAATAACGGAGGATTTTTTTCCTTTAATCGTACAAGTAGTTTGCTTTAGATGTTCATTGGATGATTTTTTTTTTTGGTAGGATTTTGGTGTCAGTAAAGAAATAAGAACACACAGGCGCGGATCCAGGAATTTTTTCCCGGGGGTCCACCCCAGTCAAAAAATTTCCAACCCAGAAATTTCTTGACAAGGAAAAAAGAAAAAAAAAACAAACAACAAAAACTGTAAAATCCATTCCCAAACGTGAAAAGAATCTATTTATAAGTGGTAGCGGTGGGGTCCACGTTTTCTAAACGGGGAGGGAGGGGTCCAAAGTAATTTTTATTTGCTTCAGTATATACTTTTAGTAACTCTGCAAATTCCAGGGGCATTATAAATAAACTTTAAACTAAAGCCCATTTTATTTATGGAAAAAACTCAAAGATATATTTGAGATATCTTGAAAAATGGGACTTTTCTGTCAGGATGTAAAGATAAAACTTAATTGTTTAGATTGAGTGATTTTGGACTGTGTTAGGTGACTTAGGGTGGGATAAGGGTGTTTGGATT